CGGGTGCCCCCGCTCGCCCCCGTTCTCTCTGTCCCCCCACTTACCCCGCCGGGTCCCGGTGCCCCTCCCGGACACCCCCGGGCCCCCCCCGCCCCTACCGGGCGTTACCGCCGCCCTCACGCGGAACCGGGCAGCGCCACGTCACGGCCGCTTCCGCTTCCTGCCTCCGCCATGACAGCTACCGAGGCACAGGAGGCCGCCATGGCACCTACCGAGGCACATGAGGCCGCCATGACATCTACCGAGGCACAGGAGGCCGCCATGACATCTACCGAGGCACAGGAGGCCGCCATGACACCTACCGAGGCACAGGAGGCCGCCATGACATCTACCGAGGCACAGGAGGCCGCCATGACACCTACCGAGGCACAGGAGGCCGCCATGACACCTACCGAGGCACAGGAGGCCGCCATGACACCTACCGAGGCAGCAGCTCGTCCAGGGGTCTGTGGTGGGGCGAGCTGGGGACGGTCCAGGGGATCCCCGCGGTGCCCCAGCCCTGCCCTGTCCCTGACACCTTGGTCTGGGGGCAGCAGAGTGGCCGGGGAGCTGCGGTGGCCTGTGGAGGTGGCCACGATGGGTGTCAGCAGCGCTGGGATCTCCGCTCTCCCCACGCTGCCGGTGCCACTGGGGTCCCCCAGGCGTGGGGACGCTGCTGGGACCCTCCAGGCTGTCCCCAGAGCCTTCAGAATTCTGTGAGAGGCTTCCCTTTGGAGCTTGAACATCAGCTCTGTGTCACCTTGGTTGTGAGGGGCAGCAGAAGGGCTGGGGGATGTTGCTGCTCCTTGTCCTGGGAGTTTTTGTCACTCCCGAGGACATCCTGGTGGGAACTGAGGCTCTTTGTCAGCCCCGTGGGACAGCTCTGGCTGCGAACTGGGCTCAAACATCCCCTCACTAACGGGTACTTGTCTGCCAGGATTGGTGTGGGGCAGGCAGGAAGGCAAAAAACTCACCAGCTTCTAAAAACATCAGCTTTATTCCAGGTGCCAGGAGCCCTGCTCCTCCTCACAGCCCTTCCAAACTCCTCCTGACGCCAAGGGACAGGGCCTGGCCAGCCCTACCTGTAGGAGTTGGCCTTGTGTTTTGGCAGGAAGGTGAAGCTGGGCGGCACGGGGCCCAGGAGCAGCTCACTGGGAGAAAGAATCAACCACAGAATTAACCCAGAGCCCTCAAAGCCCACCCAGAGCCACCCCTGCCATGGCAGGGACACCTCCCACTGCCCCAGGCTGCTCCAAGCCCCGTCCAGCCCGGCCCTGGGCACTGCCAGGGCAGAAAAACAACAACAAAACCCAACCCAGTGCTCAGCCCCAGCTGTCAAACCACCCCGTGGCCCTACAGGGGCTCTGCCACGTCCCTTCTTGGCAACTGGAATGAAATCTGCTGCCTCGGTACCTTATTCTGATCCAATCATCCACGTTTTGGCTGGCCATGAGGGTCTCCAGGTAGTCCCTCCCCAGGTAATAGGGCGGCCTCTCGTTGATTTTCTGAGGTAGATGTTCCAACAACCCAACTGGGATGTACCTGGAGTGAAATTAAACGTGACAGCACTGAGCACTAGGGATTCATTAATGAATTCTTGTTTGAAGGAGCTCCTGGCTGGGCAGCATCACCTGCACAGGAAGGAGAGCCACTCCAGCAGGAATTTCCTGGTCTTCTCCACTCCCTGAGTGTCTGAGCCCCAGTGCTCGAGGCCGTAGTTGGTGAAGTCCTTGAGGATGTCAAACCTTTCACTGGAGGAGATATCCCAGTGTCTCTGCTCCTTGATTTCTGTGAAAAGCCAGGGTTTGATGAGTGCCCCTCTGCAGCCAAAAAAAAAAAAAGAAAAAATTGTTATTCCCATCACTGATGCTCCTGAAGATCTGAGACACTTTCCAGCACTGATTTCCCAGCCAATTCTGCTTAAAATCTCCTTTTCCATTCCAACAAGAAGCTCCAAATGATACAAATTGATTTCACCGATTTTCAGATTGGTTTCACTGAGAGGAAATTCCATGCTTTAGGTTTGTTTAGGGATTTTTTTTAATCCTCTTTTTTTTTTTTTTTTTCCCCTCTCTTGAACCACCAGAGCTCAGGAGTGAAGGGAAACACAGGCACTTGCCTTGCAATCATGATTCCAGAAACTCCCATCTGCATGGCTCGATTTGCATCTTCATAGGACAAAATATCCCCATTTCCTGCCCAGGAAGGAGGGAGAAGCCAGAGGTCAAAGAGATCCGTGAGGACAAGTCAAAGTGAGCTAATGCAGGCATGGGATAAAATTCAAAATGGACACAACGTCCAAGAGCCAGATGGTCCAAAGAGGCTCCTGCTTTTGGATTCCCAGGGATGTTTCTGATGGATGTTCCCTTACAAGGAAAAAAGGAGCCTTCTCCTCTGTTCTCCTTCAGTTTCCCTGAAGGTTTAGGGATTTTGTGCCACAAAATCCAAGAAAACCCCCTTAAAACCCAAGAGATTGGTGTCCCTTCCCTCTGGCACCACATCAGCAGCACCAGGTGTGGCACTCACATTCTCTGAAAAATCCCTTTGCCCAGGATTCTTCTCCTGGGAAGCTGAGAAGCCTCAGAGAAAAAGGAAAACAATTTTATCTCATTGCTTCTGCTGTGTTTTGCTGCTTTGGAATGTGGTTGGAGATTGTTTCATTGGGTTCATGTGAATTATTTTCACTCTTTGGCCAATCAGTGCCAAGCTGTGTCAGGGCTCTGGAGACAGTCACCAGTTTTTATTATAATTTTTCAGCCTTCTGTGAGTATCCTTTCTGTATTCTTTAGTATAGTTTAAAACTATTTAATATAAAATATTATAAAATAATAAATCAGCCTTCAAGAACATGGAACGGATTCATCGTTCCCTCCCGCCACGAGGGCCCCGCAAATCCAACACCCAGCGATGCTCAACCTTTCTCCCATGCTGAACATCCTTCTCTCCCCCCAGCCTGAAGGGATTTGAGATGGAAGAGGTGCCCGGGGAGGCCCCACGTACCAAAGAGAGGCATGGGGCTGGCGAGGCGCGCGCACTCGGCGATGTAGGGCCAGTCGGCGCTGCGCGTGTAGCGCTGCTCCCGCGAGCGGCCGTGCAGCTGTGGAGAGAGCAGGACATGGGGAGAGCAGGACACGGGGATGGAGAGAGCAGGACATGGAGAGAGCAGGACATGGAGAGAGCAGGACATGGAGAGAGCAGGACACGGGGATGGAGAGAGCAGGACACTGGGATGGAGAGAGCAGGACACTGGGATGGAGAGAGCAGGACACTGGGATGGAGAGAGCAGGACATGGAGAGAGCAGGACACGGGGATGGAGAGAGCAGGACACGGGGATGGAGAGAGCAGGACACTGGGATGGAGAGAGCAGGACACTGGGATGGAGAGAGCAGGACACTGGGATGGAGAGAGCAGGACACTGCTGCACGTGGGGAGGGGACAGGGACAGCGGGATGGGCCTTGGGATCGACCTCAGGATCGACCTCGGGATCGATGAGCGCTGAGAGCAGAACTAGGGAAGGGATCCCTTGGGATGCACCTCTGGATTTAGAGAATTCACAGAATCACCACCTTCCCAGGCAGGGGAGAAGAGTTGGAAGAGACCTTCATAGTCATCGAGTCCAACCCAGCCCCAACAGCTCAACTGAGCCCTGGCACCCAGTGCCACACCCAGGCATTGTAAAACACACCCAGGGGTGGTGACTGCACCACCTCCCCAGGCAGGGGAGAAGTTCTGCTCTCTTTCAGTGAGGAAAAGTTCCAGAACTTTTCCAGAACTTTTTCTCTCTTTCAGTGGAAATCCTTTTCCCAACCTATATTCCCCTTGGTGCAGCTGGAGGCTGTGTGCTCTGGTTCTGTCAGTTCCTGGAGAAAGAGGGATGGGATCACCTCAAAGGTCCCTTCCCAAACCATTCTGGGATTCCATGATCACGGACCCAAGGCTCAGGAGCAGGGAGGAAAATGCCCCCTGCACCTGAATTTTCCTCTTTGATTAGCAAAGGACACCAAAAGGCAGGAGAAGCTCATCCCCATGTGACCTGCAGGCAGAACTGCCCAGCCACCACCCCCACCCGTCCGGCCCTTACCGTGACCATGGCCGCGCCCCACTCCCGGATCCTGGGGATGATTTTGTGAGCCACGTTCACCTTCTCCTGCACCCCGGTGCGGATCTTCACCGTCAGTGGGACATCCAGCACCTGCAGAGGTGGGAGGATGAGGCCAGGCTGGACTGGGCTCCCGCAGCTCAGCTCCAGGAGCTCCCACTCACCGAGTTCATGCCGCGGACGATCTGCTCGAACTTGTTGGAGCGAGTCATCAGAGCACAGCCTCCTCCCTGAGGGACAAAACGTGCACCTCAGGACCTTCCTCACACAGTGGAGAGTCCTTGGAGCATCTCAGAGTTTGGAGAAAGTAGGTCCTTCAACCAAAAATACTCCAGAGTGCTTTTCCCTCCCAAATGCCACCATGCAGAACGGCCGTTCCCTGCTCCTTGAGCAGCTCATTCCCCTTCTCATTGAGATCAGAACTGGGAGCCCTGGGTCAGGCTGGAAAGAGCAACCAGGCAGCAGAGGCTGAAGACAATGATTTATGGAAGGAAAATGCACCACAGAACTTCTCACCTTCTTGTAGACCAGGTCGATGGGACACCCGACGTTGATGTCAACAAAATCCACGTCGATTGTCCTGTTGAGGAGCTCTGCACACTTGGTCATGGTGTCTGGAAAGGCTCCCTCCAGCTGCCAAAGGGAAAGAGCTCCCTGAGTTCCAGGGAAAGCTTTTCCCCTGGGAAGTGAGCTCCTGCTGGGTTGTGGGGGGGTAACCTCACCTGCACCCCGAAGATGTCCTCGGTGTGGTGGCGTTTGAGCAGAGCCCACTCGGAGGACTGGCCCTGGAGCAGGTTGGTGCACACAGCCATCTCCCCACAGGTGACATCTGCTCCAAAACGTTTGCAGATCCGTCGGAAAGGGAGGTTTCCACACTGCCAGGGACAGCAGGGACAGGGACTGTCAGCACATCTGCTCTGGTCCAACCGTGCCCACAGTGAGTCACCAACCTACCGTGGTCAGTGGAGCCAGGTAGAGCTTGCCTCGGATGTCCAGCTGGAAAACAGGGATGGAGGAGCAGGTCAGCAGAATGGAATGGATGTTATGGAATCACAGAATGGTTTGGCTTGGAAAGGACCTTAAGGATCGTCCAATTCCATGCCCTGGCTATGGGCAGTGACACCTTCCACTGTCCCAGGGTGCTTCAAGCCCTGTCCAGCCTGGCCTTGGACACTTCCAGGGATGAGGCAGCCACAGCTTTTGTGGGAATTCCACCCCAGCCCCTCCCCACCCTCACAGGGAGGAATTCCTTCCATGCTCCGCCTGCCTCCCCCAGCTCAAGGCTCTCCAAGGGGTTTCTCTGCCATCTTTCCATGCACAATGTCCACCATGAGATCAGGACACAGGGGACTCTCACCTTCTTCTTCTCACACGGCCGCAGCTTCGTGATGTCTTCATCTGTCAGGGGGCCCAGGGTCGGGATGGAGGGAGCACCCTCAGCCCTTTGGGAGCTCTGCAGGGCCTCAGGTCTGGGAGCACCCTCAGCCCTTGGGGAGCCCTGCAGGGTCTCAGATTTGGGAGCACCCTCAGCCCTTGGGGAGCTCTGCAGGGTCTCAGATTTGGGAGCACCCTCAGCCCTTGGGGAGCTCTGCAGGGTCTCAGGTTTAGGAGCACCCTCAGCCCCTTGGGAGCTTTGCAGGGTCTCAGGTGTGCGAGCACCCTCAGCCCTTTGGGAGCCCTGCAGGGCCTCAGGTCTGGGCTCTTCTCCCTGCTCCTGCAGCTCAGGGCTGTCTCTCAGGCCCTGCTGGGGAGCAGTGCAGTCGGACACCTCCGCGGAGCCCCCCGTGGCTTTGCCTCCCTTCCCAGCACGGAGCCCACGGAGAAACTCCTCGGCCTTGTGGAAGCTGCAGCTCCTCTTGCGCAGCTGCTGCTGCAGCTCCTTGGAGAGGCCGTTCCTCACCAGCACCTTGCCCTCCCACTGCCGCGCCACGGCGGCGTTCAGCAGGTTCTGGTGGCCGTCGCCCAGGTGGGCCCGGCCGAAGCGGCAGGTGACACCGTAGGGACACAGGCCGAAGGTGTCGAAGAGGACGCAGCGCTGGCCCAGGTCTGCTGGCTTGGCCGCCAGGTACTCGGACACGTCGTGCAGGAAGCGGCAGCGCGGGCCCAGGCGGCACTGCCCGGCACGGCCCTGGGGACAGCACGGGCAGGGTGAGGGGGACGGCGGCAGGACAGCCCAGGGCTGCTCCCTGCCTCGCCTGAGACCCCCGGGGAGGGAGGGGATGGTCCCGGGGGGCTGCAGGAGGGAGGGATGGACACGGCAGAGGGGATGGACACACGCAGGAGGGGATGGACACACACCCAGGAGGGGGTGGACACATGGCAGAGGGGATGGACACACACAGGAGGGGATGGACACACGCAGGAGGGGACGGACACCCTTCAGGGAAGGTGCCACTTCACTTGTGACACTGAGCTCGTCCCACATCACCCTCTCCCAGCTGGATTTTATGGAATTCCAGCCTGGTTTGGGTTGGAAAGGACCATAAATCCCATCCAGTCCCACCTGCAGGGACACCTCCCACTGTCCCAGGCTGCTCCCAGCCCTGCCCAGCCTGGCCTTGGGCACTGCCAGGGATCCAGGGGCAGCCCCAGCTGCTCTGGGCACCCCAAGCCAGGGCCTGCCCACCCTCCCAGGGAGGAACTCCTTCCCAAAATCCCACCTAGCCCGGCCAGAGCTGTCCCACCTGTGTCACCGAGGGGCACAGCCTGCTCTGCTCGTAGCTGCTGGGCTTCATGCACGGCCGGCTCTTGTTCTGCCCCCGGGCTCTCTTCTTCCCCTGGCGCTCCTTCTCCTCCTCTCCAGCATTCCCGTGGCCTTCCCCATCCTGGCCGAGCTCCTCTGCCTTCACCCTCTTGGCTGGGGGTTCGCTGGCCTGCTCCTCTTCCTCCTTCCCCTCCTTTTCCTTCTCCTCCTCCTTGCCCCCTGCCCGCAGGTAGGCGTGGAACTGCTCCTTGGAGGTGAGGAACCTGCGGGGAAAGGGGGGGTCCGTGGGAAAGGGGGGCAGGAGGGGCTGGGCACGGACTGGGGGGTGTGGAGAGACTGGGAATGGACTGGGAGGGTTATGGAGGGACTGGGAATGGACTGGGGGATTCTGGAGGAGCTGGGAATGAGGGACTGATCAGGTACTGGGGGGGTCATGGAGGGGTCACTAATGTACCGGGGGGGTCATGAAGGAACCAGGCACGTACTGGGGGGGGTCACTAATGTACCGGGGGATTCATGAAGGGACCGGGCACATAGCAGAGGAGGTCATGAAGGGATGCGTGCCCGTTCCGGGGGGGTTACAGAGGGTTCGGGGGGCTCAGGAGGGGCCCAGGCCCCGGTCCCGCACTCACCGGGCTCGAACCGGCGCCACGCCGGGCGCCGCTGCCATGCTGCCGCGCGCGGCGATGACGTCAGCGGGCGGGGCGGGGCCACGTGACCCGGCGCGCGGTATAAAAGGGCCCGGCTGAGGCGCGGTCCTCTCACAGCGGCGGCAGCCGCGGCCGAGTGCAGTTTGCGTTTTGTTGTCTTTGTACACTCTCCGAGCCTGGTTCGGGGACTGACACAGCCCCTCGTGAGTGTCAGGATTGCCCAAGCAGGGAAAGAAGGCCGTTGTGCAGCCCTTGTACCGGGGAGAGGTGTTGTCCCTTAAGGCTTCTCTGTGGGGACGCCTGGGTGTGAGGGGGTCGCAGGTGCTGCCCCTGGTCCCTGAGGGTGGGCATGGCTGGGAGGACCCCTGAGACTCCCGAATTTAGCTTAAAACCGAACAGCATCACGTCAACCAGACACAAAAAGTGCCGCTTTGTCTTTCCTTCAACAGTTCCCTGGTTTTGGGGGCGCCTGGCTCTCCCTCCTCCTCACAGTTATCAGGGGAGAGGATGGAGCTCTGCAGGGATGTGGGGTGCTTGCTATGGCTTTTTGTCATTTTAGGATTATTTTAAAGCGGTAAATGCTTTAAAATAATGAACCAGCTCTTGCTCATGAGCTGCCTGGAGTGCTCAGGCTGCCCTTGCCTTTGCTCCGTGGGTGGAAGTTCGGGCTGAAAACCAAACAAACGCGTCAAGCGCGGTGTGGGTGACCTTTCCTCCCTCCCCTGCAGCTCCCACGTCTCCCTTGTGTTTGTGCCCCTCTCCGCACCCCTCGTGGCCCACAGCCCCTCCGTGACCCTCCGAGCCTGGCTGTGTGGCAGACGCTGAGCGAGGGGCCGATGTCTCATGGATTTGGGTGGATTTGGAGCCCTCCTGGGTGACGTTTGCTTTCCAGCTCCGTCATCTCCACAGCCCCGTTTGACTCACGCTCGTCCTGGGCTGCTGAGAGAGCGAGAAAAGGCTGCGAAATCCGAGTGCAGCAAGACCTGGGCTCCATCTTTCCTGTCCCACGCCTTGCGCTGAATCCAAGGAGATTTTTTTTTTTTTTAGCTGGGTTCAAACTGTCCGTGAGGCTGGACACGGGGTCAGCCCTGCTCTGTGGAGGCATCAACGAGGAGGCAGCTTAATTTGTGGGTTTTGTCCTAATTTAGGAGCTGCTGGAACCTCTGGAAGAGCGGCTGCTCGTGGTGTTGGGGGATTGCCACGACACTGAGATTGTTCATGGGCACTGCAGGGTTGTGTGTGCACGTGGGGTGGAGGTAAAACTGCACGTGGGGCTTGGATTCTGGTGTTTTCCTGCTTCAGCTCGGTTCTTTCCAGATGCTCCATCAGAAATGGCTTTTGGGAGGAGCTGGGTGCTCCCGCTGCTGCCAAGGGTGGGCAGGTTGCACCACGGGGCCAGGCTGCTGTGGGAAGAGCTTCGGGCTGATTGGGTGTCAGTTAGTTCTGGAGTGGAATATGAGCAATGCAAAATACTATTTTAAGCTTCAGCTTGGCCAGGGGAAGGAAGGAAGGAAGGAAACGAGGCTCTGGGGATTAATGAAGTGATTTCACTGCTGGTTTTGTGGGGCAATAAGCCCGAAGTCAGAGCTCTTTGGGCTGGCTGCACCCGGCTGAGGTCAGACTTCAGCATCCAAACCCTGCTCAGGGCCCTGGCTCGGCAGCTTTGCGAGGCTGAGCCTTGGATGAGCTTCCCAACAAAGCCTTTCCCAGGCTGGACAGGGCTTGGAGCAACCTGGTCTAGTGGAAGATGTCCTTGGCCATTCAGGGATGGGTGAGCTTTGAGGTCTCTTCCAACCCAAACCATTCCGTGACTCTCTGCTAGATTTGGAGAGGTGCCGGCTCTTATCTCCATGTTTTCACCCCTTCAGGTCGTGCTGAGGTTGGAAGAGGAGCCAGGGGAACGAGGAGCTGGATAAATGTGGGGTGAATACGGAGCTTGGAAGGCCGGAGCTGTCACTCCCACATCCTCCAGCAGCTCCAGAGAAAACCAATACCCACGAACTCACTGGGAAAGGCCAAGGCAGGAAAAAGGGAAAGGTTGATTACAGGAAAGTGGGATATAGATACAGGGAGAGCTAAGTCAGGAAAAGTTCAGCTCCTTCAAGGTCCAAGTTAAACACGTGTTAATGAACCTGCCCCTTCCACAGGCTCCCACACAAAAGTCGGATGTGTCAAGCCCTGGGGTCTGGCTGCCACGCCAGGAATTAGCCAAAAAATGAGGTTCTGCAGCAGCCCCACGAGCAGCTGCCGTGGGGAGGGAGCTTTGGGCTGGTGACACTGGGCTGGAGCTGTGCTGAGTGTTGTGACAAGCTCTGCTGGGGGGAGCATGTCCCAGCTGTGGGGTTGGGTGTGTGGGAAGGTTTTGGGGGCGACCTCCTGTGTTCTGCTCAGCCCAAATCCATTCCTCATGTGTTGTCTCCCCTTTTATCCGGTCTGGTTTCAGCAGCACAGCTTCCAGCCTTCTGCAAAGGAGGCTATTCCCCTTGCTCATAAATCTCCTATCAGGAAGCTGTTTCCAAGATTAAAGCTTTAAACGTTTCCCCTCTCTGGTTTCACGTCCCAGCTCCCAATTCCCTCCCTGCTGCAATCACCAGCTCCATCCCCTCCATCTGGACACTCAGTGCCTCACACCACGCTCTGTCTGCTCCAGGAAAACCTGTGCTGGGACACTCTGGAACGGGGCTGTGCTCCTCCAGAGCTTGGAAACGGCCACTGCAGGCTTTGTGTCATGGAGTTTGGAAAGCTCTTCCCGCTGCAGGTCCCTCCTGGCTGCGTGAAGAGCTGACTTAGCGTTTGGAGGAGCTGAAGGTCATGATCTGGGCAAGGCCCGTGGATCTGGGATGAGCTCTGGGCGGGCTGCAGCTCGGGGCCTGTTGTGGGTATCGGATCACCGGGAGTGTGCCTGGAGTTGGGGTAATTATCCCTGGTGACGAGGCCTTGGATGGCTGTGGTGTGTGGGAAAGGGAAAGGAGGGACAGCAGGGAGAGGGAGGGAGCAGGGAAAGGAGGGACAGCAGGGAGAGGGATGGAGCTAGGAAAGGGATGGAGCAGGGAGAGGGGAAAGGGATGGAGCAGGGAAAGGGATGGAGCAGGGAAAGGGATGGAGCAGGGAAAGGGATGGAGCAGGGAGAGGGGAAAGGGATGGAGCAGGGAAAGGGATGGAGCAGGGAAAGGGATGGAGCAGGGAAAGGCAGGGAGAGCAGGGAGAGGGATGGAGCAGGGAAAGGGATGGAGCAGGCAGAGGGGAAAGGGATGGAGCAGGGAAAGGGATGGAGCAGGGAAAAGGGATGGAGCAGGGAAAGGCAGGGAAAGGCTAAGGGATAGAGCAGGGAAAGGCAGGGACAGCAGGGAAAGGGATGGAGATGGGAAAGGAATGGAGCAGGGAAAGGCAGGAAACAGGGAAAGGAATGGAGCAGGGAAAGGCAGGGAACAGGGAAAGGGATGGAGCTGGGAAAGGCAGGGAACAGCAGGGAGAAAGGGATGGAGCAGGGAAAAGGATAGAGCAGGGAGAGGGAAAAAGGATGGAGCAGGGAGAGAGGAAAGGGATGGAGCTGGGAAAAGGATGGAGCAGGGAGAGGGAAAAGGGATGGAGCAGGGAGAGAGGAAAGGGATGGAGCTGGGAAAGGGAAAAGGGACGGAGCTGGGAAAGGCACAGGACATCTGGGCTCACGTGGGAGTGCTGTGGGATCCCGGGGCTCTTGGCTGTGGCACTGAGCCCTTTGTTGGGAAAGCTTGGAGGAGACCCCAAACCTTTTCATCACACCCTAAAATTAGAGGCAGCCCAAGGCCCCAGTGCTGGGAGAGGCGGATTCCTTGGCAGAGGCTGCAGTGCTGATGGAGCAGGCAGGATGTGGCTGCTCCCAGAGCCCTGGGCATGGAGCAGGGGAAGGTCCCAATCCTCTGTTCTGGGGGCTCTGGGGGGCATTTCTCACCAGCCTTTGTCCTCCCAGCCTTCATCACCCTCAGCCCTGCTGTTCCCAGGGCTGTTTGGGGTGGTTCCATGGGAGGCTCCCAAAAGGAGCCGTCTCTCCTGGCCTCGGCTGTCACCTGAGGTCACCCTGTCCCCTTTCCCTGCAGGTTGCCTAATCCCTCGTGGCTCAGTTGGGAATTAGGGGAGTTGAGGATCTGGACAGGAAAGCTGCTCGCCTTCAAGTCTTTATCTGGCCTCTTCTAATGCCTTGTGTGCCACCAGATAAAATCTTGTGTGCGTTTTTAATTTTTATTTTTACGCGAGAAAACAACGCTGAAGTTTCCTCCTGACATTTAACTCAGTCAGTGAGTGACAAACCCAATAAACATTCCTGTTTCGCTGGGACAAAGGCTCCAAGATCCTGCTGGGACTGAAATGTTTCATCATTTCCGAAGTAAAACGTTTCAGTTTAGAAAAAAAATAAGAACAACAACTAAAAATGACACGTTTCAATGTTTTTCTAATTATTTTCTCCACTTTGGCTGGAGCTATTTGTCAAATCTGGCCTGGCTTCTCAAGTAGCTTTGGAACCTTCCAAAACTGCTATTTTGGGCACTTTTCCTGTTTCTGATGAATAAGTTTGATCCCTGCCCTGCGTTCCTGTTCATTCCAGGTGTTTTCTGGGGTGTCCTACAGGTGGATGGAGCCTTGGTGCCATGGCAGGGCCACCTCCCACCATTCCAGGTGGCTCCAGCCTGGCCTTGGGCACTGCCAGGGATCCACGGGCAGCCCCAGCTGCTCTGGGAATTCCATCCCAGGGCCTCCCACCCTCCCAGGGAGGAATTCCATCCCAAAATCCTAAAATCCCATCCCTCTGGCAGTGGAAGCCATTCCCTGTGTCCTGGCACTTCATCCCTTGTCCAAAATCTCTCTCCACGTTTCTTGTGGCTCCTTCAGGCACTGGAAAGTCACAGTTAGGTGACCCTGGAGCTTTTCCAGGCTGGACAATCCCAGTTTTCCCAGCCTTTGCTGGGCCCCAGGGCTGGGGCAGCTCTGCAGTGGGGTCGCACCTGAGCAGAATCACAAGAAATAAACCTCCCCAAATTTTAATTTAGCCCTGAAA